CTCTCTTAGAACTTATCATCATTGTATATAGTCTTAATGTTCAAATCGGCTAATTTCATTGCATGAAATACCGCGATAAAGTTGCTGTGAGGTGGTATCACTTTGTCGGAGCGCTCTTAGTAGTGGTGACGTGTCGATGCAAGTGCTGTTTTCACTGTGCAGTTGCCAACGAAAATGGAAGAGATAGTTAACTTGTGATACATTCGTGGTTGGGCAACCAACGTTAATAGAATGAGGTGTTAGGGCTTATACTTCAGATGAAAGAATTAGGGGTGGTTTTTTCCTTAACCGTATTTATTCTACATCAGAGAAAGAGAAATCTAACCTTTTTTCACTAAGGTTAACAGCTGGGCACTGTTCGCATAGCTCCTGATGATGATTCTTCAGACTTTTTTTCCGGCTGCTTCTAAAAACCGTTTTTCACTTTTACTGTCTTAAGTTTCTCCGTAAAGTTTTCTACACTCGCTCTTAGTGCCATCAGTGTTAATGGCGGATTTCCGTGCTCGGATTGTTCATAGTGGCATTTCTTTGGACTCCGTCTCCAATTTTCTTATTTTTTCCGAACAGCTCCTTAGATATGTGTGACAAATATGTTGATCTAAGAACTAAGCCATACGCGTCAAAGCTTATGATTTTTTCGAAAAGCGACTCGTATTCTTAGCTCAGATCTTTTTGATGTGCCATTCGTATAGCGAATGGGTTCCGTCTGAAATGTGTAATGTTTTCATCAAACGTAATTCTCCTTCTAATTGATGACAGGAGTTTCTTCCTTCTCACTTCTAAATCGAATCCTCGAACCGAGAATGCGATCATATCAGCTGTAGAATGACTGCATAGTAGATGTTTTAATTAAGCACCATCTTCTATCTCTGAGTGTGTCATCGATTTCCGCTGAGTCGTTTTCATTGTTCCTCTCCAGCGCTGATTTTTCCTCTTCTTGAAAAGTGAACTCTTACGGAATAATTGTACTGCAAACAGGGATGTTAAAACAGGGTTTCCATTTTTATTATCGCCTACTGTATCCACTTGCTTTTCGAGATTCATCTTCGAATATTTTTATGAAAGTTATGAAAGGGTTGTGTATTTCGATATGAATATGGAATTTTCCGATATGAAAGTTGTGGAAGGGATTTTCGTTGTATATCATCCCATGCATCTAAAGTAGAACTCGTCTTATTTTCACGCATCAGTTGAATGAGTTATTGGGTGGAAGTTGATAATACAGCGGCAGGTAGCGCAGTGGTAGTGATACCGATAATTGCGACCAGGATGCTTGTTCGATCCCGTCTTGGACTCACACCAGCCTACCATATCTCTGTTTTTCGAGAACTAGGTACCGGATTTGCTTGGGAAGAGCTTACTCTCTACGATCAAATTTGGAAGGCTTTATCGCCGCCATCTCAGGTCTCCAGTGAGAATCAACCCGATCAACATTGAACGACATTCATGACGAAAGAAAGATCTTCAAACATCAGCCTAATCCACATGCAAAAAGTTGAAATACTTTCATGGATGATGAATGCGAGGAGTACTGGGATCGCACAGTGTATGTGAAAGACGGGTCATATGAAAGAATTGATAATGCTGATTTTTTTTCTGACGTGGAAATTGAAGACAGATTAATGTCAAGCGGTTGGATAGGACCACTAATATGCCGATTCGATTGGTGGCAAGTAAATATACAGCGATGCATATACCAACGAAATATCATGGTGGAGCTATTTTACATTAATGACAAGATTATCTTCTTTTACATTCTTAACCTTTTTATTTACCGCCTATTCTTTCTAATGGCAGAGTATGTTGCGAAAAATCCCGTTGACGGGTGACTGCTGGTGGCAAAAGATCGATAGAACTAGCTGAGAGACAGGCGGAACGAAGGGGTCGCATGGTATGGTGGTGAACGCGTTACTCCCCGGAAAGGACAATAGCGCGTTCGTTCTCCACCGCAGACGACTGCGGTACGGAGTTTTACAAATATCTTAGCATTGTGGGAATTCTCTTCTTTTAGTTAGCGTATGCCGATCTTCTTGTTTTCATCTCCTGTGGAGTTTCACTCCGAATTTTGATCGCCATCGAAAGCAGTCACTGGCCCTTATGGATCGAACGGAGGTGTTCTTTGCATTAATTTATTCTTAATAGCTCCAGCCACAGTGAGAGGATCAACGATGGAGTTTATCACATGGTATCCTCCAATACATATTAGAAACAGTTGAAATGGGTAAAAGGTCTAGAACCGCCTTTTCTTTATTTTTATCGAAGCAGTAAAACCGAATTCTTATCGGTGCGATTCAATCTGTTACAAAATTTGCACCACTTAAATATGTCTAATTAAACAAAACTCCTTACCGTTCTGCCTCAAGTGAGTTTATATCTTTTCGTTTCATTTCCGTATGGTCGCATAATGTTGCTCTGTGAATCAGTAGTGAGAGCTCACAGGTGTGAGGCGTTATATGAAGCGCCGGTCGTCTGGAGATGACCTAAATGAAAAACGTGAGTGGAGCGACCGAGATCCAACCGTTCGGTGTGCTCCTCCGGCGTCGAATCCACGCGGCTCATCGTGATTTAACCCGAATCCCAAACGTCATCGAAGCATTTGCCAGGTAGTTATACTTTTTTCGAAGCGATTGATTTCTATCGAGAATAATGGTGTTTTAATACTAAATTTTCCTGCGGTTATTGCAAATTAATGTGTGAAATGAAATGAGCAGTAGTCAAGTAGACTTATCTGGACTTTTGTGTTTGGGCAGTTATTATTTCTTAAACGAAAATAGACATTGTAGAAGTTTAAATTTGGGAGCTAAGATCTTGTGGAGCCGATCCGATGGAAGCAATGGAATCTGAGTATTGGACGAATATTTTGATTTTAGATTGAAATTTTAGAATGGGTTGTATAAAGATCCATTGATTGGTACCATTTTAGCTATACAGGATTTGTCGAGAGGATTTGTACTTCTTTTATCATACCGTACTTTCGTTGTAAACGTCTCCATCGCAAGCCATTTTTCTGATCACAGCGATGGTCTTATTTTTTCATAAAAATGATTTGTAGGGTTCTCAGATTACTAGTCACCGTTATTCTGAGTAACACGAGGATTTTCTTTTTCGTATTCATTTGTAAGTCCTACCAGATTAATGGAAATCCTAGCCATGGAGGTTTATCGTTGTTCTCTTGAAAATGTTGGACTCGTTCCGTTTATGCATGAGTAACCATAGTGAAAGGTTTGCATCACTATGCGTCGTAGTCCAACACCCACGTCACTTCATTGAGTCATACAGCCCTGGAAGCACCTCATGTCACAAGTACTTTTATTCTAGTGGCTAGTGGAGTTTCTTTTCCAGCGCACCTCACCCACAGCTCATCTGTGAGCAAATATATTATTTTTTTTTCCAATAAAAAGCTTCTTTAGTTACTGGAAACCTGATTCATCTCCGATAATCAATGTAGATTCATCACATCCACAAAACGCACCAGGTGATTTTTTTTATACGAGTATAATTTTCCACACAACTATTTGTTCATCTACAGATTATTAGGTTGTTCGGAAATTAATGCAGGATCCGTAGGCTTATTTTTCTTTAATATGATTTACCGTTGAGTTTTTCAAAATGTTGCGCTGTTACATTTCAATTGTTTCTTTTTTATTTTACTTCGTTTCTCGCGTCCATTGTCCACGAAGGTCTTCCAACATTTTGAATGTTGGTTCGATTGCTGCTTCCGGATTGTCTTCTTCTTTGCGAATGTCGTTGAATGCTGGTGCAGTCGGTTCCCTCCGGGCTCCTGGGATAGTCGGGATAGATAGAACGTTTCCACTTGAACTGCAGGTAGTGAATTGTTCTCAAACAACTCTGTTATCAATTTTCTGAACCTCCGAGGAATGAGAGGACTAAAGAACCCGGAGCGAGGTTGAAACAGTGCGGCGCTCGTCGTTATAGACATCAATACCACTGCGCTATCTTCCCACTACTGTATATCAATGCAAAGCTATTTTTGTGCACCTATAATTGAATTACAATGCAAATTGTGTTTTCGGAAAGCTTACAGATTGGTACTTATTCATCCTTAAATCCATACCAACCTGTAATTCTTTTTTAAATTGCAATTTGAACTATTAGGTGACAGGTCGCGCAGTAGTGGTGATATCGCACACAAGCACGTTGCTAGTCCGACCTCTTAGCGAGCTCACCAATCATCTGTTCATCTCTTCGGGGTCAGTGAACTGGTATTAGACTTGGCTGGGAGTAATTCCCTCTCCGCTATCCTATTGGGACCGCTCTAGTCTAGCTACCCTAGTCTAGCTTTTCAAACGTCTCGAAAACTTCTTTTGCGAGAAGTCCATCAGGAACCAAGTCGAGGTCTAAACTACCCTCAACAACTTCATCACCTCCAGAAGCCCAGAAAATTGTGCAACTGTTACAAAGAATGTGTTTCTGATTTAGAAAAGTGTGTAGATTCTTTTAGATTCCAATGGTCTTCATATCAATCAATAAAGTTTGTTTTGAGCTGAAACATGCTTCTTTAAAGGAGCTAGTAGGAAATCCTGCGTTGATTTCCAAACAAGGTGATACCTGTTTTCATTGCAGTTTTTTTGACGATTGGGAAATACCCAGAAATATCGGAAAAAATAAGAAAATACCTAGAATGGGCATCGTAGAGAACTCTATATGCTTTGTTTAAAACTCGTCCATGCTTGAAAATTTATAGGTACGTCGTCCGGTAACGGGAGTTCCAACACCGAAAAGTTGCTGCATCGAAAAGAAAGGTGAGGTGTTGTTTTGCGAACGAACTCTCTGCTATCAGCAGCTACTCCCGGAATTTAATTCATGGTTGCTGAAAGAAAAGAACTGAAATTATCCAGCTATAATTCGTCAACTTCACCATGTTTTGTATTCGCTTTGCTTTGTAAAATTCCGCCTTCAGTACTCTTCGTCTTTAAATATGTGTTTGATCATCTACGCATGTAGTAGTAGGAACCTGGACCAGTATCCTTTGAATATAAATGGTTGCTTGCAGCGGTTCGTTGTGCGACACCGTTGTGACTACGGTGGACGGTCAGAAATTCGATATAAAAGACCTCGACAACGACCAGTGGTTGGCGATGGTGTCCGAATGGTCGCTTCCCATTTTCGAAATCGCCGAGAAGCACGAGGATACACTTCTTAGCCGTGTGAGCACCGATTATCACCGTAATGATTATCCATAGGAAAATCTTTGACAAAGTGTTTTCCTGATTTGTTGTAGCTTATAAGCACGAAAAGAGGAAACAAGGGACTAAATCTCCCTAACTTTTGTCCAAATCTTACATTTGCGGCCTCTTGCTGCTCTTTTCTCTTGTAACGAGTATGTCATCCGATGAATCCATCATTTTGTCCAAAGCTTTCTTCAACTATTTTCCCTACAGTATGGGAGGAGAGTGGGGGCTCTTCGAAAGACTCTAAAAACTCATAATGGAACGACAACACATGTCTGCTAGGGACGTACGATTAATAACTCATTTAAGCCCAGTTTCAAAACTACTTTCTTGATACGCAAACACGAGGTTGTTAACAGTAAGACTTATTCATAACAATTCTGGCTGACATTTCAGCGGTTTCGCCTTGTTCAAAGCTCAAGAATGTCAACTTCACACGCAATCCACTCAGTCAAGCATATCATAACCTCAGCAGACAAAACATCCACATAAATGATTATTTGCAAAGTGAACGGTCGCGAAACTACAATGTTAACTTTTTATTTTCTGCCTACCATAGTTTTTCACGGTAAAGTGTGATGTGAATTACAACCACATCGATGCTGAAATATTTGCAAAACTCGAGAGAAACGCAGAACAAGGCCTCCGTGGCTCGGTGTCCACGGACCTAGATCCCGGAAAGGGAAATCGTGGTGCTACCTGGCCCGGGGTCCAAGTTTTGCGAATATCTCAGCATTGTTGTGGTTACGAAACTGTTCTTTCCAATTGCTTCTTGTGTTTTGCGCAAAAAAGTATTTATATTCACGAACGTTGTCAAAATCGTTGCTCAAATAAAATGAATTTAAAAGAAAGTGCCGACATCATGGGAATACTATACTAGACGTCTCAGTATTGTTGAATTAGAAATGAAAGTTTCTGAAATATCTGTTATGCTTTTAATGGAGTTCTTTAAGATCACTTATACGGTCTTCAAGCAAGCGGATTTATTTCGAATATTCAAGTTGTCGCCGATCAAATTCTTCAACTTCTTTCACGCTCTCGAGCGCGGATATTGGGACATACCTTGTCAGTTTTTTTTCTCCATTGGAATCAACTTACTATAACAGTGTGTGTATGTATATATGTGTATATGTTTGTATGTATGTATGTATGGTGTGTGTGCATGTATGTATGTTTTTTCATTGGGATCAACTCACTATAACAGTGTGTGTGTATGTGTCTATATGTATGTATGTATGTATATGTACGCATGAATATATATATGTATATACGTATAGTGTGTGTTTGCGCGTGCATATATATATATATGTATATACTAGAATTACCAGGGACAAAGCGTAATAAAATTTCACAAACCGACCTTCCTTTAACCTCGATGAGAATGATCAGTGTACCTTCTTTCATTAATGAGTTAACACGAAGCTGATAAAACTTGATTCGGGTAACGTTTCGGCGTCTTCGTATTCGTCAGTGCTCATGAACCGATTCGATGTCCACAGTTTTTCGCACCTCGATCCTTATCCTACACTTTTTGCTAGCGTATAATATCCGGTATCTGAAGGATGGATTGTCCAGAAAAAACAGGTATTGTCACCAGACAATCATATCAACAACAACCGTCTTGTATAAAAGAGCATCGCCCGGTGGATTGCCTCGTTCGAGCGGTGCTTCACTGGAGAAGATCCGACTCGATATGACGACGAAACATCACATCGAGAAGACGAGTGACTATGAACCATCGACTTGGGTCATCGGCTCTGAGCAAGACGAAGAGGTCGAAACGTTAACCGAATAAAGTTCATTTCAACCTTGTGTTAGTTCACAAATGGAAAATGGTATACTAAGAAATCTTGTTTGGAAATGTATTCTTAAAATAGGGATTCATCTGTAATTTTTAGATCACAATCGAGTTCATGCGGCAGACGTGCTGCATGGCTGCTACTACCTCACATGCCATCCGGTTCGTCCACTAATCGGACCTTCCGCATCACCGGATTCTCTGCTTCCACCGTCACTAGCCCAAGCCACTCCAATCTCATGCAGCATGAGCACATTGGAGGTTGATTTGTCGTCGTCGTCCTTAGCATTTTAGTTTGTTTAACCAAATTATTTCATCTGAAATTAGCAAAGAGCTTAGCGAAAAAATATTAAATATGTGGATGAATATTAGGCGCAATGTTTCTTTTTCTGCGGAATTTTATTCTCCGAAGTATAACGGATTTCATCGAAAATTGATGACTACGATTCGCTGGCCAATTTTTGTAAAGATGATGTCCGTTTACTCTCTCAGTTCTATCGATGGAGCAGAATGCATCTTACTGGTTACCTTTTCTGGTTATCTTCTTTCTTTTTCGCTTTAAATTCACAGTGACTGTCTCGAAGATTATTCTGAATTCTGTTCATATTGTCTCATTTTATTATAGTAACATGTGCTCTCGGCACACCAAGCCTTCCATCTCTCCGGGGTCGGCAGACTTGTCTGGGAGGTTAGTGGCGCTGGCTCAATACATCGCTAGGCCACCGCGGGTCATTGCGAAGGCCAGATATGCATTCAGTCACCTCCAACGATGATGAATTCGAAAGCATGCCTCACCCCTCAGGAATTGATCAACGCCGAAAGCTTTTTTAACATCGTATTTCCTTCATCTAGTGTATTCAGCCATTTCCACGTAGTCGCGCACTACTTATAAATACAAATGAGCGCATTTATTTGTTTGTTTATTGTTGCTTATTAGTCAAATAATTGGTTTGTTCTTTTCACCGTAATGGAACTTTCTGATGGCGGTATACTAGTTCATCACGACGTGTTGTTTTACAGCTTATGGCTTTGTACACTGCGGCCGCTATGCATGACTATGATCATCCCGGTAGGACAAACGCATTTCTTGTTGCAGCGGAAGATAAGAAGGTGTGTAATGAAAAGTTACTGGAGATATACATATCTCAATAATTCAAGAAAAAGAGTGAATTAGAATACCCAAAGCAAAAACATCAAACATCATCGACATATTCGAGGTGACGCTTATTGTATTCATTGCACGCGTACGGGATCTTCTACGAGAGGGGACGACGGTGTCTTGAAATTTCGATTGTTTGTAACTTTGAATTTTAAAAAAATTTAAAGTTGAAGCGACACTTTGTAAAGATTTCAAAGCCTACTCTAAATGCCCGCCAAGTCCTCACGTGTTTAAGTGTTCTAGTTATCAAAGGTAATAGATGTCGAAAACCCAGCTTATATTACCCTTATGTTAATGCCGAAATATTGGCTCGTAAAGATGGTAAGCTAATGAATCACAGCTTTGAGGGTCATTTTCCTTTTTTGAAGTGGTTCATGTCTCAAAAAAACTGGTCTAACCCTGTTTCCAGCTTTATGGCCATCATCATAGAATCGCCGTTGGAGGGTCAATTTAATCAGTTCAGAAACACTGTGAATTGTCGAGTCGTTGTTTTCAAACTGTTTTTTTTATAATAATTTGATGTAGTGTCTTTAGCGTTGTTGTTCGTCTTAGTCCCTCCATCTATTAAGGCGATTCTCTACAATGATCGATCAGTGCTCGAGAACCATCATGCGGCTGAAAGTTGGCGACTATTGCAACAAACGGAGAACAACTTCATTGAGACGCTTGACTCGGCCGAAACTAAACGATTCCGGTAGGATGATTCTTAACTTTTTTGTATTTATGATAGGAGCGGGAATGATGCATTAGTTAATCATGCCGTCGATCAGGTAGCAAAGCGCTGTTTCGATCCTATCTCTAACGCTCTCCTCCAGTAAATGCGGGAATGCCATAGCCTAGCTATCTCTAAGATTGCAAGGAGAATTGACTCGACTAGAATTCTACGACATTGATAAGGTAGACGAAGCAGCAGCTGAAACAACATGCGCAATCTTCAAAGACTATTGTGGATGAAATGTACGAGGAATACAGATCAAATGTAGGAAGTCCTGGGATCCGCACTGTAAATGTCATGTTGAGTCATGTAAAATTAAAATTAAAATACGTGGATACTGGGACGGTCCGCCTTCACGAGCTGTGCGGACCCCAGCACATATGCCGTTCGTTCCTTTCTCTCGCAATCGTAGTCCAAGGTGGTGGTCTTATTCGAGCATGGTAGCGCTTGCGAGTCTCATACTGTGATCTGTAAAATAACTGCAGCTACGGGTAGAGCTGATTAACTTTTTTTTACGAACACGTCCGCCCAACGTGTAGGTGGTCGTTCAAGGGAACGTTTGCATTCTCGTGGAGTCCACACTACAGTTCTTTTCGTCCATCTGTTGTTTGTTCTTCTCATTATGTGATCAGCCCATCTATGTTTCGCTGTCGATGTATATTCTCCTGGATCTCGAAGATGTGACAGATTTCGAAGGTCAGAGCTTCGCATTCCAGCTGCATATTGAGAGTGCCAGTTATATTTCAGAAGACATCGTTCAAGCGCTCTGTGAGTAGTTCGAAGCATTCTTGACGTAGTTGAAGTATCAACCCACGCCTCTGCAGCATAACAGAGTGCTGTGAGGACCGTAGAATCAAAGAGATGAGCGCGGATTTTCGGGACCTTCAGTTGGTCGGTGGCTTCTTTGAGAGGCTCGAATGCGGCCCAACCTGCTCTCTTTCTTCTACCTAGTTCCTCCTTCATGTTGTCTTCCTTGTTCATTGATCGCCTAAGGTATACGTGCGAGGTGGTCTCTGCAACGAGAGAGCCATCCAATTCAATTTCTTCGCCTTCACACCACGGATTTTTTATGAACTGGGTCTTCTCTCGATTTATGGGTAGTCCGATCTTTTTCGCCGCTTCGTTGAGCTCGTTGATCATCATCACTGCTTCGTTAGTACTTCTTGAGTAGATGACGATATCGTCGGCAAAACGAAGACTGTGGGAATTTTCAATCAATACGTATGGCTTTATAATCCCAATCGAGTGACTTCATTATCCACTACAGTGCGGCACTGAACAGCTTTGGCGATATTGTGTCGTCCTGTCGAACCTCTTTTCCTATAGGTATTGTAAGAAATCGATGGAAAAGCTGTATTTTCGTAGCGCAGTTCCGATAACAGTCGGACAGAGTCCTTATGTGGGACGGGTCTATTCCTTGGTCAACGAGCGCTGATAGGATTGCATTAATTTCGACATTATCAAACGATTTTTCATCGTCGACAAAGGTTAGGACTAGAGGCAGCTGGTATTCCCGACAAACTTCGATGAACCTGGACGCAGTTTCGATGTGGTCCATATAGCAAAATCCTTTTCTAAATCCTGCTTGCTCGAGTGATTGTGCCTCAACCGATGTCCTTGATATGCACGAGAGGATAATCTTCGTGAAGTGCTTGTAGAATACACTCAACAAGCACATCGGACGATAGTTATGAAGATCCCTTCAGTCACCTTTCTTGGACAGGATGATCGTGCGCGATGTCCTCCACTGGTCTGGGATCTCTTTCTTTTGAAGGTAGGCTGTTATATAGTTTGCGAGAATTATATGTAAATTGTGGCTTCCAGCTCCAAGGAAATCGGCGGTAATATTATCGGGTCCTGGAGCTGTACCTCTTTTTATGCTTTCAATCGCAACTCGAGCCTCCAACGGAAAAATTCCAGGTGGTTTTTCTCCATCGAGGATATTAGGGTACGGGGCGTGGATTGTGGGACGGAAAAGGTTGGTGTAGAACGTTCCCGTTATTAATACCATGTCATAGTGGGGAGTTTTGACGAAGCCATCTTCGTTTATCAGGGCTGACAGCGGAACATTATAATCACAAAGTCTTGACGACATTTTTTCGGACTGCTTCTTTTCTCTCAGGTTAAATTAAAATAGATAATCGAGATCTCCAATGAGTGCCATTCATGTGACCAAAGCACAAAATCACGGCCTTATTTTACGCCGCAGTTAGTACCGACGTATGCGATATAACAACTCGTTAAGATGAGATCGGTCCTTGACAGTGGGGCATACAATGTGAATAATGTTGTGTGCTCCACCACAGGTACACAACAATTTCGTACAGTCAAGCGTATATGGTCAGCAACTGCTGAAAGGCGATCGCTGCTGCGATCGCTGCTGAGATCGGCAGTTTTTATCAGAGCATTGAAGTTACCCGCAAAGCTTAACTATCTACTTAAACTGCTCGTGCTCATCCTCACAGGACATGCGACCCCTAGCACTCCTTCTATCTTTTTCATTGTTCTTTAACCATGTAAATAGACGTGGTCAGGTTTATATGTGGCTTCGGCTGTGATTTGAGATTCTCTATTCTTCTGTGGTCACTGACGTGATGAGTGCATATTGTTTTTCCCGGAGTCGCTAAATAGTCATGTTAAAGTGCTCCAAGTTAGTGTCTGCAGATAATGGTAGACCTTTGCTGGAAAACTCACTGCTTGCAATATTGATTGCTTCTGGTAATTCCGCGATTAATCGACTGATTAACCGACGATGATGTACTAAACCGAATCGTAAACAACGTCCAAAACGAATAGATTATGAAGATGGGTTGACAAACATGTAGCCTGCTTTTCCAGAGTTTAGATGGGGTTTATATGTTGTAGCGGCCATTGAAGCTGCTCTCAAATACTTCCTGGTCTTTTAACTGCAGGATTTATTCACCTACCTAGATATTATAACGATGTGAAAGGTGTTTGGCGTTGCCAAGCCATAGAGCTCATTCTTTGACTCTATCACCATCTTGAGTTAAATATACGGCCTGTCTTGGTTCCATCTGACCACTAATCCGCTACTTGCGTGATGTAACCTCACGACTAACCTGCTTGTAATTTTCGACAGATCGGGGATCCTGGTACTTGGCCATTAAATATTCTCGATTGTCACCATATTCTTAGTTTTTATATTTTTTCACTATTATCTACGTTCTTCATTTTCGTGCTTTTTAGGTACCTTGTTCTGGAGTACATTCTTGCCACTGATCTCAAGCAACATTTTGAGATTATTATGACGTTCAATGAGAAGGTCCGTCGAATATTCCTTATTACTAGAAAACAACTATGAATATATGATTTTTAACTGTCGAACTTACAGTGCAATGAAATGGAGCTGATGAACGAGTCTGATCGAGTTCTAATGGCGAAAATGGTGATCAAAATGGCCGATATTAACAGCCCAACAAAACCGTTTGCTCTGCATCGGCAATGGACAGACCGTATCTGTGAAGAATTCTATGAACAGGTATATGGGATATCGTTGTTTGATGGAATGGTTACCATAGTTGGCACTTCATGAGGTGAATAATGCCGCTAACGGATAGCTCGTCCTCGCCTCTCATTAGTCAGCTCTTCAAGTTCACCTGGACTTATAGCAGCTTTGTTTTACAGTTTCACTTTTGTAGTGATTTGGTATGGTATGCTTTAGAAGGAACATGTTTTAGAAATACAGAAATGTCATATAAAGTGGTGAACCATTCTATACCAAGTTTTCCAATATTCTATTTGAATATATAATTTTTCACCTTCGGAATGTGGACAAAGAAGAACAAGACCCTGCAAGGTTTTATTTTTCTTTGCCAACATTCTTTCTCATTGCTCCATTTTCCCTTCTCTTTTTTCTTTTCCTTTTCTTTCTTCCTCTTTCTTTTCATTTCGTACAGTGACTCCGAAAAGATTTCTGATCATTGCGTTTTGTTAGTCAGTAATTTCCTTTTGCTAATAACCCTTGCATTATAATATTTATAGTGCGTTCAAGTTTTTCAGAAATAATTTAAGGTGTAATTTTTTTATGCAAAAGTATTACGTACGCTTGTAAATTAAACGTCACAGGTGACTGATACATGCTGTGTACTTCTTTTATATGAATTCTGTTTGTCTGAAAATGTCTTTAATAAAATGATGAAAGGATAAAAGCTCTCGGCGTTGGTCAAACCTGAGGGATGCGCTATGTATTCGATTTCAATAAGCATAACTCCCACGACCGACGTTCTATTAACCTCGGCATTGATCAAGTAATTCTTCGTATTCTTGTTGAGCAAACGCGAGGTGTTATTTTTATCCTTTATTCACGAAAACGCTGACGTTTCGGCGGAATTCCCTTTCCTCAGAGCCTGGAAAGGTCAAGTTGACAGCAATCTATTCGGCCAAACACCTCAATAACCAAACAAAGAAAACGCTAAACCAAGATTTCAATTACACTGAACACAGCTCTGCACACTCACCGCTTTCTATGAAGCTTCCACTGAGTATGTCGCGTGATGACCAACCGCACGGAAGCCACATGAAAGTGTAATGTGCCCGTCCCATCAGAATACTCTACGTACTGCACAGCCCAGAAGCGGGTACATGATGGAGTCCTTCGACGTTACCGCTCTTTATACAAGCGTGTCGAATGACTCCGCCATGCAAGCCATATTCGAACTCCGTGTACACCACGAAGGAGAAATAAACAAGTATGGCTTTAAGATAGAGCAGTTGATGGTACGCTTCAAAGAATGCTTGAGCTGCTCAATCTTCAGTTGGTCCAGAAAGTACTAGGCTCAAATAAGAGGGTTGGCAATGGGACAACAACTGGCATCAAGTCTTGCCATTGCGTTTGTGTCTAAGGTGGAAGCACCGGTGACCGATCTCGGGCCGCTACTCTACTGTAGATGTATAGATGACTGTTTTGTCCTTTGCTGAACACAAGAGGAAATGGACAAATCTTTCGAGTTGTTGAATGAACAGTCGGAGTATATCAAGTTCAGCCGAGAGAAACCGAAACAAAGCTCGCTTCCATTCCTCAACGTCCAAATTAACCTGTTATAAAATGGCTACATTACGAAGTGGTACCGAAAGCCAGGTGGTAAAAACATCTTGGTTCATTACCTCTCCTCTCACCGTTCCCCCACAGAAACGGCGCGTGTAAAAACATGTTTTGAACAGCAACCAACGTGTGCACGGGAAGAGAGCAGAGAGAGGAGTTCCGAATCTTGGCGCAGCAAACAGCCATTTCTAATGGTTGCGAAACTGTAGCTCAGGATAGGTATAGGGGAAATCCTAGGCTTCCAAACAGCAACTCTAGCGATAGATGCGTCTCGTTTATCCTACCCTTCATCTCAAATGATGTAAGTACAGCTATAAAACGCTGCTTAAGAAGGGCGGTTTTAGAGAATTCGGTAAACGTAGTTGAAATACCACCGAGTAATCTTAAGCGCCAGCTTGTTCGTAACCGCCTATATGACCGTCTAAGTGCAACTCAAAATTGCATAATTTGTCCCAGTGGTAAAGACGGTGATTGCATGAACTCCGGTATAGTTTATCTGATCTCCTGTAAGGCGTGCGGAGACGAATACATTGGCGAAACGGGCGGAGCCCCCTGTGACCGTATAAAAGAGCATCTAGCCGGAAAACATGAACCAAATACCTCTCTAGGCATGCATAGGACCCAAAGACATAACGGGAAGGACTTTGAAGTACGTGTGACGATCCTCGCCCAAGAATCGAGAACACAAGTGCGCAAAACTCTCGAGGCGCTCTGGATAAATTCCAGAAATCCGAAAATGAACCGCAGGGAAGAATGCCTCATTATCACGCGTGATATTGAGCAGTATATAAGTATGTTATTCTGATGAGATGGACACGTTACGATTCCATGTGAATTCTGTGCAGTTGGTCTCCACGTGACATATTTAGTGGAAGACTCATAGAAAGCGGTGTGTGCAAAACTGTGTTCAGTGTGATTGAAATCTTGGTTCAGTGTTTTCTTTGTTTGGTTATGGAGGTGTTTGGCCGAATAGGTTGCTGTCATCTTGACCTTTCCAAGCTCTGGGGAAGGCGAAATCCGCCGAAACGTCAGCTTATTCGTGATTAAAGGATAAAAATAATAGCTGGCGTTTGCTCAACAAGAATACAAAGAATCAATAGGCATAGTTAGAGCTAATTGAATGCATATCTGGGCTTCACAATGACTTGCGGTGGCCTATTGATGTTTCCAGCGAGTTCTTTTGTCCTCCTAGAAAAGTCTGATACTAGTTTACCGACCCCGTAGAGATGGAAGACATGGTGAGCCTTGGGCACTGGGATAAAAGGTGAAGAACGGGATGCTATTTGTTTTGCATCTGATTTCCCTGACTTTTAGTGCTGTTTTCAATTTAGGGTGACGAAGAACGAAGGAGAGGTATGCCTATTACTCCGTACATGGATCGAACTGATGCACAAGTCGCGAAACTGCAAGACTCGTTTATTGCACACGTCGTCAGTCCCTTAGCGGTGGCAATGAATGAGGTAAGAGAATACTCAGTACTCCACCAGGTACAGTTGTCTGTTGCCAATAGCGGCTGCTGATTTAAAACCGCTCATCTAGAAGTAGCATTTGTCTTTGACTATTTATTTGATTATGCAGGTGTCTGAAACAGTTGAAAATACGGGAGTTCATACCGTAATATAAACGACGCTAAGTATCAGGTTGTTCAGACCGTTATGTTCAGTGAAACTGATGAGAGAATAGAATGAGACCTACAATGTCAATTCCATGGTATACCAAGGGTAAACTTGCCAAGAGTTGTGCTGTTTCTTAAGAAATAAAGTCCCAACGTAGCTTAGTTTCTTGCATTTTCAAGCTTGTTGTGATAGAGACATTTTTCGTAATCAAGAAAATGTCAGTGATATAGTTTCAGCTTCCTCCCAATGGTTTATAGCCTCATCATAGCTGGGAAGGTGTTGGGCTGCGATGTGCAACGGGAGGATTCGTCCCCTGGCAGGATCTCCCAAGCTGAGAAGGAGTCCGGCGTTCCCATCACGAAGTCTAGCTAAGAGTAAACCAATACCAGGATCCACTACCGTCCTGGTGTCAAAGTCGCATAGTGGTAAATCTCCCTCTGATCCACAAGGGCTGCGACTTACCTGTGGTGGTGACGACCTGGGGCAGACTTTGGCCAGGTTGACCTCGGAACTCCAAAGAACCACAATAGCTAAACCAGCGAAACTCTCAAAAAGTGTAAATTATGCTGAGGGCCGCACAACCTTTGAGGATGGGCCATCTAAGTAACCAAGTAGTTTGAGCTGATTCAAACACTTTCCTTCGAGGGACCAATCAATTAACTAAGTTAAACGACCTTAGGCGTGGCTGTTGTCGTTCAGTTTGTGTTTGTGTTGCCAGCAGTGTTTGTTTATGATTTTCAGTAGATATAACTCGTATGAAATGCTGAGATATTTGCAAAACTCCGGACCGCAGATGTTTGCGGCGGGGAACGAACGCGCTATTGTCCTTACCGGGGAGCAGCGCACTTCACCACTACACCATCCGGGTCCTTCGTTTTGCTTGTCTCTCAGCTAGTTCTATCGATCTTTTTGCCATCAGCAATCACCCGTCAACGGGATTGATCTGGGGAGCCCAAATCGGCATTGAACCCAGTTAAGCTGAGGCTTAGTTATAATCACAATCTTAACCTTTTTACCTTTTACCCTTTTTGCAAATATCTCAGCATTTCATACGAGTTATATTTCGCAACATACCCTACCATTAAGAAGAAAATGGCAGTAAATAAAAAGGTTAAGGTTTCAGTAGATATTTATTAAAACCACAATGATTTTGAGATAAGAGCGAAACCCGGTGCCTCAGATGAGCTTCGAACCGGTAACTATCCTTACCAGAGGCTCATGTGTTATTTGTTGTTTTTCTTCACTTTACCATCGAGGTTGTATTTCACGTAGTACCTTTCCGCTAAAAAAATTTTAGGTCGTAAAAATAAAATCTTGTGAATTGTTACGATTTTTGATACCAACAAGCTTTTAGAATGAGTAAATTAAAAGATTGAATGAAGGATGATAAAGATTAAACTATGTTCATAGGAGAAGTTTGTGAAATCTCAGTGACACGTTTTCCATTTGCAAACTCGTTTAAATCATGAATGAAGTAACATTTTACTTAACACAGAAATATGGAGTCGGTCAGACCGATAAAAGGTGAAAGACATTACTAAACTGATGTTGACCCTATGGTTATACCTACGAGCAATGCTATTAAATTTGTTTGTTGTGGATATTTATGTCCATAATTTTCTACAGCAATTTCCCTACTCCCCTTCTCTATGGGAGCTTGATCATACTAATGCTTGATTTACAGGCGGGTCTGCTTCCAGTTCTACCGGGTCTTGTCGAACCTGAAATGATGATCAATCTAAAGCACAATCACCAGAAATGGTTGCAAGAAATCGACAAGAATACAGTTGAAGAAGGTGAGGAGTAAGCAGTGTTGCTGACGCTTTCGTCGTAGATAATGTGCTTGCTGATCCCTATTATACTAATGTATTTCAGAGTTTAGTTAGATACTTAAATACCTATGTTCATTTATTAGCAGATCGTAGCACTTGTTTCATTCGTTTCCTTGTCAATAAACCATTAATCGAGAAGTTCGGATGTGTGGTTCCCTTCTACTACTGGATTTATATATTGCTTCATAACTGAGGTATTGAATGCTAGTCAACCGTGATTTAACGTGTGATAGAGACTACTACACAATGCAGAAAAGAGGATGACGAGGTGTGTCAAGTCTTCAACACGAACATTCGCTGGCTGCCTTCTCGTATTCTTGCGGGACGACAGCATTCCTCTGACGGAAACGAATCCTGTGATCAGCTGACTGATTTGCATTCTCAAATTTATTGATTTTATGTGATGCCGGACAAAAATATCGCTTCATATCTAAAGAATTATAATTTCGGTATCTAAAGCAATCATTTTAGCTGCCTTTTTTAACTTCGGATATGTCGTTTATATCTTGTACAGTATCCTTAATAGTACTCGAATTGTCCTGTCAATATGAAGGTACTGATGATTTCAGCTCCGGTATTGGGAAACGGTGTAATAGAAGAAGAAAGTTCTACCAGCGAGAGTCCCGATAATCGCAAATGTAGTCCGTTACTGGACTCGGAACTCGAGGTATGTTCCGCCGAAAGTACCGTCGTGATCAATTTCTGTTTTACTTTTCTGAGACTATAGCGCTATTTGAGTTTAGTTACAGCTACAATTGCAAACGATTTTTTTTATAAAAAAAAACTAAATGATTGCAGTGTAGTACTATCTTCAATGACTATTCGCCCATGTGCAATCCAAATAGGAGCGTTCTTTGTCCTGTTTTAAAAAACGAGAAATAAATTCTTACGAACTGCCCTTGTTGAGCTGGCGTGAGGTTGGTGTCAGTTGTTGTTGTTATTGTTGTGCACTAGTTCGATGCCTGCCGTTTCGTATTCTTCGGAGTCTAGACGTATAATATGTAACGATATCGATATAGTTCCCAAGATCGACTTTCTCTTAACCTCGGCATTGGAATATGAATGTGTCGTTTTCTTGCTCAGCAATCGCGAG